TGGAGTGCTACATTTCATGAGAGAAACTAGAATTTTGGTGCTCTGAACTTTTTTCAAATGGAAAGGAAATTCTGTGTATTTCTCAAGTATGAAGAAATAATTGGTTTCCTGAAGCAACATCTATTAGAGCTGTTAAGTCTAACAATACCAGTAAATTTTATTGTTTACAAGAAATGCAACTAGCTTTTGGTATTTGTTGGCGCTGGTAGCCACTGTAAAACAATAATTAATTTGTTTATTTTGCTCTAGTGTTTGGCACTGCATCTCACTAACAGCAGGTGGATTGGTCACCATATCAAAGGATATGTACACAATAACTTTACCTGGTTTAACTCCTTCCTTCTATCTGTTTGGTCTAACTCCCTGGCTATTTTTTAATTTCCCTCATGACACATCTCTCCTGTATACATTTATGAATGGATACTGTTATCTTTGTAGTAAGTTTTGTTTCTGTTCTTATTTTTATGTAAGGTCTTAGAACAGTGGGGAATTAGTCAGACTCAAATGCCACAGAATAGTCAGCAGCCACCTCTGTGCATTCCCATTTATTTCAGTAACTATACCTGTTACATTGCTTTGTTCCCCTCCCTGCAGTTTGTAGGTCTTCAGAATGGATATTCCATAAAGGTTTAGAAATGCAGATCTGGGTAGTTATAGATGAATGAGCCTTTTTCCAGTAAAAAACCCCAACAACTTATAACTATTGATGCCTTTGTATACAGACAAACTATGTGTATTCTGAGAGTCACTGGGGTTGACTGAGGTTACTTGTTCAAAATAACAATTTATGCTAATAATCGTGTAAATGGGGAGGAAGAGAGATGTAGGAGTTAGCTGAATCCATATAAAAAAACTGAAAGGGGAATTGGAATATAGGAAATATGAACAACAACCTTACTTGATGTAGAGTAAGAAATAATTAAAATTCACCACCAGCCTCTGTTATTAGGTGAAATCTAACTACACTGACCTCAAAAGTAATTTATCTAATATATGTCTGTATAATGTAGTCCTTGGAAAGAACTGAAAGAGTATACTGATTTTAATCTAGGAAGGAATGACAAGATCAGTGGCACATGAAGATGTAGAATTTTGGATACCAGAAATAGAAAGCTCAGCAGAGTTTAACTGACTGAGAAGAAACTCATAAAACTGGGAAACTGCTTGTTTGATTTTGATTAGGTATTGTTTAATTGACAATTCTACTGTCCTTGTCCTTGTGGCCTTCCTTCTGGATTAGAGCATTTTTTATCAAGGCTTGAAGCTGTGTTTGTGAGGCTTTAAGAGAGACACCCAGACTCCACCAGTTCTGAGCCTCCTTGCCAGGACTGCTGTAGATTGTCCATTGAGGATTTGAATATCTCCAAGGGTAGAGGTTTTAGAACTTCTCTGGGTAGCCTGTTCCAGTGTTTGACTACTGACATAGCAGAAGTTTTTCTTACATTCAAGTGGAATTTCCTGTAAAGGTTTCTGATTGTCACCTCTGTTCACATCATTGGGCATCAGTGAGAGGAACCTGCCTTCATCTTCTTTATGTGCTCCCATCAGGCATCCTGAGGAGAGGACAAGGATCAGTCTCTTGGCCTGCTGGTGATGTTCTTCCTGATGCAGCCCAGGATGATGCTCTTGGCCTTCCTGAGTACAAAGGCTCATTGCTGGTTCATGTTCAGCTTGTTCTTCACCATGATGCACAGGTCGTGTTCTGCAGAGCTGCTTTGCAGACTGTGATCCCTGTGGGATCCTGACAGCCCATTCCTCCAGGTACCTGAGGCCCCTCTGAATCACTCATCTGACATGCCAAGCACTGCTCAAGGTTTTGGATTGCCTGTCATCTTGCTGAGGTTGCATCAGTCCTATATTATCCAGGTCACAGATGGGGCTGTTGGTCCTTATTTGCCCCTGGGCTGCTCCAGTAGTGACTGACCTTGAGCTGGTCTTTGTGCCCCTCACCAAAGACCTTTGGACCCACAGTTCAGCCGTGTTTCAGTCCACCTCTTGGTCCACTTATCTAACTTGTACTTCAGCAGCTTCTCTGAGGCTTTTATGAGTGTTTTGAAAGCCTTGCTGGAGTCAAGGTAAACAACATCTGCTGCTCTCCCTGCATCACAGAGCTGCTTACTGCATTGCACAAGGCTGTCATTGGTTAAACATGATTTCCCCATTCTAAATCCATGGTGACTACCCCAGATCATCTACTTGACTTTAATATGTTTGCAGATGTTTTCTAGGTTTATTTGTGCCATCATCTTCCTGGGAAGTGAGGAGAAGCTCATTGGCCTGTAATTTTCTTCATCTTCCTTCTTGTCCTCATGGAAGATAAGAGTGACAGCTGCTTTCTTCAGTAACCTCCCCTGACAATCACAGCCTTTCAGACATATTGAAGCTGGGATTTTGGCTTTATCTGTCCTTCTATCAGTTGGAACCCCTGGAAGCTAATTTTGGATTACAGTGTTATTTTTATATGTTTTAATTTTTTTTTTAAAATAATGCTAGGATTTTCTTGTTAATTATCTACTAGAATAGCTTAGCCTTTTTTTTTACCCTCACTCAAACAATTAAGAGAGGTATTATAGTTAACTTCCACAACTAGCTTTTCCACCACACTGTTTCAAGCACTCCTAGTCAGTTGGAACATGATTTTTCAGAGAGGACAATTTTGTTTCTCTGTAAGTTCTAACAAGATGTGGATACCGTTTTCTAACAATAAGGGTAACATTCACATCTCAGGTTGGATCTTTGAAGGTTTTGCAGATAGACTTGAAATAGACACATAAAAACAAAACTACAGGCTATATTATGTAGCCCAAAGTGGTGGTGATCATATACCCCACCCACATTAATTTTGCACTTTTGATACAGTAAAGCAGTCACCTGACTCAAGGAGAGGAAAACTGGGTCTTTGGAAGACTTGTGAGATTGTCTCCTTATTTCTCTATTCCTTTAAATATCTGGAGTAAATTCAGTATGTGTCTTATGCAGATAGGTTGAACTATCCACTGGAGATTCCTGTCTTTACTGGCTGTAGGGAAATTCTACACAGTGTGTTTAAACCAGCAACTTGCCTAAAATTAATCTAAAATTAGATGAGAGGGATGTGCTAAACTATTCCAATAGCATAAAGATGAACATTACAACTCTCATGTTTCTTGAGTTACCTCTTTTCTGAAGATCTAGTCAAATTGAGTTTCTAACTAATTTACAAGTGAAAAGACATTTTGCACTTGTAATTACTTACTGGTGTTTTCCATAATTATTAATAACACTTGAAAAATTGAGTTGAAAGTAGACTTTTTCATATGCTCTCAATGAAAACAAGATAGCAATGTAGAGATTGATTTTTATATTGTTGATAGATTTTGAAATACTTTTTTAAAAATTCATTTTGTTCAGGATTTTGAAGCTAGTGAGACAAAAAAAAATATCAGTGAGAGTAACTATAAAAAATTTTAACCTGTGCTGCAAATTACCTGAATAAGTACATGTCACAATACCAGTGTAGAGTTGAATGAAAAGCCCCTCTCCATCCTCTTTTAGAATGGTTCCATAAGTCAGAATTAAAATGCATTTTTAATGTGTCTATAATTAGGCTCCCACATTCATTCATGTCCAGGTACCTAATAAAGGACTAAATTTTCTGAATTTCTGAGGATCTACTAGATCTCATGGCCACTTAGATTGCATATTATTCATATTAATGAGCACTAGTTCTCCCCAGCTTATTAGTGGAAATCAGTAGTTGCCAATGGGAGTGTTACTTTTGTGTACAGATTAAATAACCACTTCAAAAAATGATTTTAAAATATGCATTACCATAAGCATTGCCACAACTGCGTTTTTAAATGTTTCTAGAAGTTAAAGAATAAAATATTCTAGTTGACAAGTGTTTCTTCTGAGTATTAATGGTCTGAGAGCAGTGTAGCTAGTTTTTACCCATGCTGTGAAAATATTCTCTATGTTATGTGGTAGTTTCCACAGCACACAGTAGGGTGCTGTGGCAGGTGTTCAGCTTGAATACATTTAATTGTACATGTTTAAGGGTGGTACTAATACTAGGAATTGTACTGTTGTGGTTTGAGGGTTTTGTTCTTTTGCTTCTGCTTTAGATTTCAATAGCTTTTGCTATCTGATTACATCCCTCTTAAGTTTAAAATAACAATTTTGAGTGGAAAATTGCATAGAAAATGATCCTTCTGATTTGGAAATTATATAGCACTATTCCCACTCTGTGAACTTTCAGTATTGCATAATATTAGTATGTTCCTCTAATTCCTGAACCACTTGCAAATTAATTACATGGAATGACAAAATCAGAGCTTGATACACATTCTCTTGTCATATGTTGCTTTTCTAGATAAAGAGGCATAACGACACAAAATAACAGAAAGGAGTTGTCATGTGCATCTTTGCTTTACTGGAGGTGTATGAACCCAGATCTTGAAAAAAAAAATCTGCTGCTGATCCTAGTCCTGCATGTTGGTTGATAAAATTAGCTCTAGTTTTTAACCTGGACTTATGTGCTGTAGACTATAAAAGCTTTCTTTCTTATTTTATCGTACATTTCAAAAAAGAATAGATGCTACAAAATAATCCAAGAGGCTGAAGAATATTCAGTTTATTTAGCGTACAGGCAAAATTCACATGTACTCTTTTCTCAGAAGTAATGCAATATAACTAAAAGACACAGGTTAAAACAAGAAGAAAATTATTTTTAATTGGATTACTAATTACCTTCTATGGTGCATCCAGAGATTAGGCTTTAAAATGGCCAGAAGTGAGTAATTGTTCTTAGAATATTCCACTTTTCATTTAAGAGCAAATATTCAAAAGTGTTTGCAGATACAGTGTGTGAAGATTCCTTTGGAAGGCAAAGTGGTTAAACTTTCTTATTCTATGGGAAAGACTTGCTGGCATAGTATCACTAATGCTGGTAATAAACTGTTCCTAAACATATTTTCATAAATTTGCACTTACTAAGCATTTTTTATTCTTCCTGTTTGTAGAACATTCAAGGTATCTCTAAACATCCAGTTACAATTGCAAAGAAACAGTACATAAAAGGTAAACTGTATTTTTATTAAGATGAAAAGGCAGTTGTATCTAATTATTTTATTGTGTGGGATTATATTTTGAAGCAAACTGATAGGTCCAGTATTAAATATCAGATGATCAATGCTTTGTTATACATTAGCATTTAAACAAATTACTTTTTCTGATTGTTCCTGAAAAAAAAAATTGCTTTTTCAGCACTGATTTAAATAGTTACAAGCTTTTAGATTTTTTTTTTTTGTCTCCCTCACTTTTTCCAAATGAAATTATGCATTTTAAATACCTTAAATGTCCTAGGGATGATTTTGTATGCATTCAGCTCATAAGGCTTTGCCTGAGTCAATGTTTAAGCTCGGCCATTTTAATCATAATCACAACTAAACACCAGTAGTTAGTCAGATGTGTTGTTTTTGATAACAGATGTGTATTTAAAGGCAGATGGTTCAGAGAGAATCAAAGTGAAGTCTAGAAAAGCATGAGCCAAATGATGAAGACAGAAACCCACAGTAGCAGACTCAAATATAAGAGAGATTTTGGAACACACATTCTCCTCCTCTAATGCCTGCAGCCACAGCTGGGCAGTGCTGCTCAATGTTTCTCTGCTAAGGGCAAGCTTTGCCTTTCCAACTCCCTGTGTTGGAAATAATACAGGTCATTAAACAGGAGGCTAGGGAAGATAATGTAAAATTTTGACAGCAGTTTTATTTTATTTACATGAATCATTTTATAAGCATTTTTTAAAAGTTGCTATAAAGAACTGTGTCAGAAGGGGCAGCATAAACCTGAGGTGCTGGGCATAACTGTAGCACATGAAACTTCCTGGGGATTTTCTTAATCATCTTATATACTCCTCAAAAATGTATTTCTAAGTTTTTCCTGTATTAAGACACATTTTTTACTCTTGTCTTCACTTTTATGCTGACCAGATTCTGTTGCATTTCAAACCACCATCCCTCCCTACACTATATCAAATTATATTCCCTGGATGCATTCAGTTTCTAGTACCTTGTGTTAGTGTTTCATTATATTATTGGGGATTTCTGTCATTACAATTTGGATGCCTGTGACAGCTCTGTGTTCTCAATATTATCTTCCCCTACCATCAGTAACTCAGAATTTGGTTATTAACACATTGCTGCAGTATGTTCAAAGATACAAAAATAGATATTTTTACTTATTTTTATAGACAACCCTTCTTTATGAATTATCTGTAAAGAATGTTAGTTACTGTATTTATTTGATAGCTTGTGTTTAAGAAAGGGTTTGGATTTGAGAAAGGAAGGTGAGCAGTACTGCAAGGATGGTGGAGGTGAAGTTGTACATGAAATAATTGTGATGCTGGCAGTTGGTGCTCTGCTAGTTTGCTTACACTGCCATTTCTATGGTAGCTGTATATTTCGTATAAAACCTGTGGTTTGCAGCACAATACTTTTGAACTGGTATTTGGGATTTAAATTAGTATCTCCTCTCTAGGAAAAGAAGAGGACATAATAACTATTTCCCCAAGAATGTTGTTTGTTTCAAAAGAAGGATGTACATTTTTAGCAGCAGGTAAGAAAGAGAGTGAATTATTATTCGCATGTATATTAATATTCACAGTTCTGTCATGTCTTTTTCCCCTCTCCTTTGGATGACATATTTTACAAGGCTGTCAAATCCCTTAGTAACAATTAATATTGTTATATGAAGTGTGTTCCTTATTAAGCTTTGGAAGGGAATGATGTTTAAGCCTTGTGAGGAGAAACAGAACTAATAAGATTAATTGACACATGGAGATAATGAAGGATTGAGACACTTTGTGATCCATAGCTGGAATACAGCCTCTTCAGGATGAGCTTCTTACAGGCATCTGCCTTTTTTAAGCATGAAAAAATTATTGAATACTCCAGGCTTATATTTTAATTTGTGATAGTCTGGTTAAAATGCAGGTATGTTTTTATTTTAGAGCAATAGATGCATTTCAACACTGTTTTCTAGACTTTTCACATATTGAGTTAAGGATCCTTGCTGACCTATCATCTGAGCCAGAACTTCTGAAACTATTTCAAGAACCTGAAATCACTGATATCTTTGCTACACTGGCTTCTCAGTGGTAAGATTGAATGTTGCATATTTTAATAGTAATTAGACAAAATAGTAAGAATAACCTAAGCTATTGTATTACTGCAAAATGATAACAAAAGGCAGTATTTTGTTTCAATATCCATTATTCTTATGATTTTAACACTATGAATTCCCTTCTTTCTGAGCCTTCTCTTCTGCACATATCAAAATGCTGCAATCCAACTGGCCAGTATGAGCCTTGTGGCAATGATATATTTGGAACAGTGGTTCCTGAAAACTTTCTCCTTGTATTATTTTAACCAATTCTTTTTAAAAATCCACAGCAGCAGGTAGATAAGTTATCCATCGGAAAAAAACATAGAATAGCTTTTCTCAGTAAAAGTACAAGCATTGCTGAAATTTATTTAGATATCCAATAGAAGTATTGGACTTGAATTACAGATATTTAAGAAACAGAGACTAGAGCTTATAGGATTTCTTTAGAACTGATAATGTTTAGTGCTTCCATATTCTGAAATGATTTGGAAAAAGTCCTACCCCAATAATTTAAAAAAAGATTTTTTAAATCTCCATATCTATATAATTATTTACTGATCTCTTCAGTGTGCCAATTAAAAGATGAACTATCAAAAAAAAGAATATTAATCACTGTTGGAGGTATTTTATATTGTTGTTTATATCATGGTGATGCCTAAAAACCTTGCTTGAGACTGGGACTCCATTGTACTTAAAAGGGCATGAGCACTCATTAAGTGACAGGACAGATGTCGAGAAACTTGTGGTTTCAACAGATAGGTCAGGAAAAGATAGAATAAAATGCTGTAGCATAAAGCTCTGAACAGACTGAAGTTCATGTAAATATTATGCAATTAGCTTATTTTCTCTTTTTCTCCACCTCTTTTATCTTTTCATCTCCATTTCAGTTGGAAGATTGTTAGCTGAAAATGAAGCAAAAATACCTATGATTGATTGAGCTCGATTCTCATCCTACGGTTTCTAAATTTTTGCAGGCATAGTCTTCCCAAACATGGTATTTCCTACACACTTCTGTAGTTCACAGAATCTTAGAATTCTAGAATGGTTTGGGTGGGAAGGGACCTTAAAGACCATCAGGTTCCACTCCCCCTTCTACAGGCAGGGACACCTTCCTCTATCCCAAATTGCTCCAAGCCCCATCCAACATGGCCTTGAACACATCCAGGGCTGGGGCATATTTGTTAATATGCTCTGAGTTTGTATAAAGAAACAAAATGGAGCTCACATTATATTTATTCTGCTACCAACAAATCAGTTCTTGAGACATGTGCATTCTGAGAGAACAAAACTCCAGACCACAAACATTCCATTGAATAGCTCTATGGAAAGATCACCTTTCTTTTAGAGATCCTTAGAAGCTTCACTTGATACTGTAATCAATTCTTAGCCCCAACATGATATCACTAGAACCTCATGATGGAGTTAAATCCTTATTTTAGTTTGATGATTTATTGGAAATGTATGCATGAAGATGAGTCAAATTTTGTCTCAGCTCTGGGCATGGCTCCAGAAATACCATTCTATTCAGCAATCTCACGGCTCTTGGCAGTCGTCAACCTCTTGCAGTTGCTACACGGTAACTTTAAATTTAATGAAATGTTACCGGCAAATATTTTTATCAGACAGAATTGTCATGGATTGTCTACAAAATCATTACATAATGATTCTGCTGACTCTACTCTCAAGCTTCAGTAAAGCTAATGCTTAGAAGAAACTTTCTCTTGAATCTGTTAGATGATTTATGAATTACAGGAACATGAAGGGTGTGTTTAATCTCATCTAACTTTGGACATCTGTCACATACTTGGAGGGATTCATTTGGCTGACTGCTAATATGCCCTGTGTAATAAGATCAGTCACACAATAAAAGTGTTGACTTCTCACCATTGAGAACAAAGCAGGTCTGGGGTGGCCAGCTTAAATGTAGACATCTGTATTTGTTCTAAAAAATTGAATTCCTCCTGTTGGGTCAGTTCCTACTGAACTCATCTTGGATTTTTGAATGTTGTCCTTAATTTCTCTGGCACCAAAGAGAAGATATAAAATTACAGGCTTCACAAATGCTTTCTCATTCCAGATATTTATTCATCTTTCATATTCTGCTATTGATAAATAAAATCTTTAGGGCCAAAAATTAGTCAATTGACTTTATTGTAGTTTATTCTACTGACTGGTATTAGAATCAGTTATGAGAAGAACAAAATAAACAACAAATCTTTTATCTCTTCTTGGTCATCTGGTTTTCTCTGGGTCTTAATCCTTTAAAATCTGTGCAACTGATACACCAATGGGCATAGCAAAAGTTTTCTTCTGTTTGAAGGAATTGCATGTTGTTACTATTTGTAAATCTTTCCTAATATATTTTGTACAATTGGAGAAATCTTTACAAAAAAGGGATTTTTTTTCTCTACAAGATCTATAAAGAATGGATTAGTTTCTGAAGCTCCCTCTCCAAGGACAAAAAATTAAGTTAGTGTTAGTATCTAGTAGCATATCAGCTTCTGAATGCATGTCAGGTGGTATCTTTTAGCAGGTTTTCTGTATCTAAAAATTCTTAGATTGATAAATATCAAATCATAAATAGAAAGGAATACATTATTGGATAGAAATCTGAGCCACACTCCAGAGTCCAGCCAAGTTTTGTATCAGTTTATTCACTTTTTTTTTCTAAAATTAATGGCTTCTTCACTGAAACATAACTCCATTCCTTAGCTGCCCTTCAGACTAAAGCCTTCAATCTGAAATCCAACCTTTAAAAAAACTTTCACAGGCTTTTTATAGCATTTGGCAGGAAATAAATAGGGGTGGGCAGTTTCTGCAAAGAGGTGAACTCTATGAGTTCCTGATTAAATTAAGATCTCTTATGTATAAAAGCTTTCCTTTCAAATTTGGTTAGTTATTCTGTGCTGTGACTCAGCCTATCTCTGGTGCCTTAGAGAGGCATCTCTCTTGGAACCCTGTTGGATCCATGTTTCTGCTAAACATAGTTTGTATGGAATCTTTGCCCTGCTCAGCAGAGCAGGTAGAGGTGTGTAAGTGTGTGTCAGCCCAGAGTGTCTGTACATGGCAGTTAAGGGCTGAGTGGAGATATTACCATCCAAGCTGAAATTCAGTCATATGCAACACACAACCCAAACCACCAACCCCAGTGAGAGGCAAGGCTCCCGCCAGGCTGGGCTGGGATCCTGTGCTGCTCTGATGAGCTTGCAGAGACAGCTCATTTCAGGAGTAACTCATCTCCAGCACTCTGTGCTTCCCTGCACTGTGCTCAGCTGTTTGCTGGAAACACTGCTTGCTGTAGAGCGTTTTTGAAGCATTGTGTATCCTCTTTGGCAGAACTGTCTTGAAGTGGCTATTCACCTAAAACTATCAGAAGCTGCAGGTAACTTCCACAGAACCACAGAATGGTTTGTGTTGGATGAGTCCTTTAAAGATTGTCGAGTCCATCCCCTTGCTATGGGCAGGGATATCCTCCCCTAGACCAGCTTGCTCATCTCTGCTTTGTATAGCAAATTTATTTTCTGCTCATCTAACATAGTTACCCCAGCTAGAACTAAGATGATAGTGCTCTTCCTCCTGTTGTGCTGTGATGATGATTGTACAGTATTGCCAAAATTGTCTTACAGTGAGTCTTCTGTTATGTCCTACAAAGAAAAAGCCTTAAATACAGGTCAACACCTTCTATTACAGCACCAAGAGTGCATTACATTAATGACGCACTGAACACATGGCGAAGTTTCAAGGCTTGCCTAAACTTTTAAAAATTCATGATATAATGGATTCTAGCTACCTGCAAGTTCACCTTGTGTTATATTGCCTTGATGCCCAATGACAGTCATAATCCTTTTAAATCCAAATCATCATCCCAGTGCTGAAGCTGATGAGAGCTGTCCTGGCAGCTGTCTGACCTAACTGCCATTAGACAACCCAATGACAGCAAACCTCAGCATGAACTTTCTCTCACTGTTTTAGATGAAAAATAAGTATTTGTGTTTAAAATGCCATTGATGTGTGTATCTTAAAATCACTTTCAAAAATAGACGCTGAAAAATAAGTTTAGTCTTTTAAGTAATCTGCACTTTGCAAAATTTAGTAGTTGGGCTGTAATGATTACCTCTCTCAAACTGTTCTTTTGTCACCTTTTTTAGTAAGTTGTTGTTCCTCCATTATAGTGTATATACTCATATTGACAACATTGAGTCAAAACCAGGAAAAGTATCTTGATTTAGCTAAGCACTTAAACACATCATAGTATGATGTGTTTCATATAGGGGTTTCATCCTGTCTGACTTCTGCCTACTTTTCTGCTTGAGTGCATTTTTGAATTAGGGTAGTACTGCTTCAGAGTTCTATGATTGGAGCATTCATCCATACTTAAAATATTTGGATAAGTCCTTTTGTTTGTTTCTTCTTGTTTTCTCCTTGTCTGTCTCAGACAACTGAAGATCCTCAGTAGTGACAAGTTCAGCTGCATCCAGTAGAGCACAGTGCTGCCCTCTGTTAAGGGTCCTGAGAGCAGCCTGGCCATACAAATTCAACTCTGTTATTTATGGCTCTGAATAGGCTTAGTCAATTAGAGCTTGAAGATGTCACTGTGATCCAGTATTTGCTACAAGTATTCCTAATATCTGCCAAGTATATTTGTATTTGTATTTATGTTTTATGTTCTCAGGCCTGAAATAGAACACTGATGTCTGCCATAAATGGCCTAGGAGATTTATGAGACAATTTTGCTCTTTCTAAATTATAACTGAACTAAGAGGTAAAACATCTAGACTCTATAGCCTCATGAACCAAGAGGTTCAGAGGAAAAGACCCTGTAAGTGGATTTGTTGCAAATGGATTGAAATGAAAGTCCAATACTCCTATATCCAGAAATTTAGGAAAGGGAATACCCAGATGATTTATAGTCTCTAGGAATAATACTAGCATATGAAACAAAGAACATTCTCTTGACCATGTTACTTCTCTGAGATTTAATAATATTTCTAG